GACTTCTGATTCACATTCTCTAGTCCGAGGATCATGAAAAGATAATGATAATTCATTCCAACGGATTTCATTTCCCAGCTTATTATTTTCTCCCCCAATGTTGGATATACAGACTCATTGAAATGGCAATCTGCAAAACGAGCCTTAAACAAATCCCCTGTAGATGGCTCTAGATATTTAATTATCGATGGGGAGTCATATCCAACATATATCCCCAACCTCCTCTGAGGCCCCATCTTAGATCGCTGTGGTGGAGCAATTGGAACATATACAGCACATCCAAAAACTTTTAGATGGGAAATATTCGGTTCACGACCCAAAATTAATTGTGAGGGGGAATACTTATGATTACTCGTTGGCCTGATGCGAATTAACTCTGCCGCATGTAAAATAGCATGTCCCCAAGCAGAAATTGGGAGTTTTGATTTCATAAGTAATGGTCTAGCAATCAGTTGGAGGCGCTTAATCAATGATTCAGCTAAACCATTTTGTGTATGAACATGTGCTACAGGATGTTCAACACTTATCCCAATGGACATACAATAATCATTAAAAACTTGGGACGTAAATTCACCAGCATTATCAAGACGAATTGTCTTTAAAGGAAAATCTGGAAAATGTGCTCGTAATCGAATCAACTGAGCAAGTAACCTCGCAAACGCCAAATTGCGGGTTGATAACAAAGATACATGTGACCATCTAGTCGATGCGTCAATTAGAACCATAAAATATCTAAAGGTTCCACACGGTGGGTGAATCGGCCCACAAATATCCCCATGTATCCGTTCCAGAAAATTTATCGATTCAGAATTTATCTTAGCAGGTGAAGGCCTTATGATTAGCTTGCCTTGTGAACATGCAGCGCATGAAAAATCATTAGGAAGAACCCTCTGGTTCTCCAATGAATGTTCACAAGAATTCATTATTATCTTTCGCATCATTATCGAACCAGGATGGCCTAACCGGTCGTGCCAAACATTGAGATTTTCAGTAAACTTCTGGTTTACTACAACATTAGCCTCAATCGTACTAATCTTAGTACAATATAAACCAGTAGAGAAGGTGGGTAGTCTTTCAATAATTTTCTTTGAGCCTTGGGTAATCCTTATGATCTGAAGGTACTCATCGTTTCCTTCATTCATAGTCTCAATATGATACCCATTTCTACGGATATCTTTAAAGCTCAATAGATTTCTCTTAGACTTGGGAGAATATAACGCATCAACTACTTCAAGTTGCGTTCCCATAGGCAATAACATATATGCTCTTCCAGAGCCTTCAATTATGTTTGCACTACCCGAGACTGTACTCACACTAGCCTCTTTCATTATCATATGAGAAAAATATCTCTTTTTCTTTAAAATAGTATGGCTAGTCGCACTATCTACCAAGCATATATCCTCACCATCCATCATTATTTTCTAAATAAAGAAAACAAAAATATATATAATCATGAGATAGAGGCAAAATAATACGACTATCACAACAAAATCAAGTAAATGCTTGCATATATTTCTTATTAAAAACGCATATATATAAATAAGGTGTCACATAATAATTTACCACAAATGAATTTGACATGATTGACTATAGTTTATAATTAGGCGATAGAGCAAACAGAAATTATAATTTATATGAAAATTATTTATTTATTTATTTCTATTTTTTATTTAAGTGAATAATATATTACATGTTACATAAAATAAATAAGAAATGATTATTAAAATTTAAAGAGGCATTACGAAGCATGACTCCAACCAACAATTATACCAAACGTAAACCATAGATCAAACATACTTAAGCATGCATGCATGAGAAATTCATACGAAGTCATGGGTACCTCAATGAACCAACTTAAACCAATAATCTATTAAACCAAATAATCAAACTTGTTTCCATAAAAAAAATGTCTAAAACTCAACAACTTTAGAATAAAATAAAATCCAAAAACCAGAAATAAAAAAAAAGGAAACATAACTTATAACTTAAATCCATGAGAAACTAAAAATCACTTCTACTCCTCAAGGAAGTCAGAAGTTTCCATGTGAGTAACACCATCATGACCAAAATCCTCTTCGCCATCTTCAAACACCAAGTTTGCTTCCACCTTCTTGCCCTTTTGCTTTAGGGATTGTTGATAAAGATCAACAAGGTGTTTTGGTGTCCGGCATCTCTTAGCCCAATGGTCATCTCCTCCACATCGATGACAAACACTTGGAGATTTCTCTTGTTTGTTACCAGTCCACTTCTTAGAAGAGTTCTTAAAAGATACTCCTCGGCCTCGACCATACTCGTGTCGACGACCACGGCCGCGACCGCGACCACGTTGATATCCACGTCCACGACCATAGTTATTGGCACTGTTATGCTCTTTCCTACCGAATGATGCCGTGTTCGCTTCGGGGAGCGGGGCAGATCCGGTTGGACGCAAACCATGATTTTTCAGCAGCAACTGGTTTTGCTCTTCAGCCACAAGAAGGCATGAAATTAATTGGGAATACCTCGTAAACCCTTTCTCACGGTATTGTGTTTGTAATAACACATTATTGGCATGGAAGGTAGAGAAAGTCTTCTCTAACTTATCCTCTTCCGTGACCTTTTCACCACATAGTGCCAATTTAGAGGCTATTAGATGCAAGGCGGAGTTGTACTCACTTACAGACTTATAGTCTTGAAGCCTTAACTGCACCCAATCATACCGGGCTCTTGGTAGAATCACCGTTTTCTGGTGTTCATACCTTTCTTTCAGATCGCTCCAAAGAACGACTGAATCTTCCACGGTCAAATACTCATTCTTAAGACTCTCGTGGAGGTGGTGGCGAAGCAATGTCATTGCTTGTGCCTTGTGTTGCTCACTTTCATTGTTTCCTTGGGTGATCGTATCACCTAGCCCTTTGGATTTCAACCAAAACTTGGCATCTAGTGCCCAAGCCAAATAGTTATCTCCAGAGAGATTAAGGGCAGCAAAATCAAGGCTTGAGAGTTTCAACATGGTAACTACACATAAATAACACCAATTAAAAATCAATTCAAAAATATATAACGAGTGTTATTAACATATGATCGTGCTGATAACGTGTTAAGAAAGAGATTGAAGGGGTAAAAACTATGTTCATTCTATTGATAAACAGAGGGTATATATAGGGATACAAATATGGTGAATAGACTAATGGACCTATAATGGGCATCCACTAAATCATTCATAACATTTAGACTATTTTAAAATCTCTTTCTTGCAAAATCGGAATAACTTGACTTATTAAGATTACACATTTCATTCTCACAAAGACTAATGAATGGAAGAAGCACAATAAACTCCAAGCTTTTCAAGAAATATTGGTTATGAGTTTGATTTAATCTTCGAAGATTCATTTGGTTTTAATTGTAAATCGGTTTGGTTTAACATATATGTTTTATGTGGTTTGGTTTACTTTAATTAACGACACGTCACTCTTAAAAAACGGTCATAGATCGTGGACGTGAAATGTTATTTAAATCCAAAAAAGTATTCAATTTCGAAGCACAGAGAAAGAGCTTAAATCGCCACAACCGACTTAGAGAAACAAGTCTCTTGTATGCGTTATTTAGCAAAAAAAAAAGTCTCTTGTATGCGTTGAGACACAACGCAACGGTCATGTAGGATTCAAATATAGAAGACTGTTTCTGAACTATAAGACGACGGAGGAGGAGGAACTCGAATCGTGGAGGAATAGAAGATAGATCGACGGAACCGGCGGAGGGGGACGAACTCGAATCTTGAAGGAACTGAACCCAAACATGTTCGTAAGTTACGTACATCAGCATTGATCTTCCTGTTCTGTTGACTCTCTTTTGTTATTATTCATATATATATAAATATATATATCTGATTATGAACCCTAACATGTTCGGAAGTTACGTTCATCATCTTTGATCTTTCTTATTCTGAATTTGAACCTTAGGGTTTGATTGATTTTCTATCAAGAAACTCATAATAAGTTTGTGGATGTTATGTTGGTATCTTGAATTACTTTGAATGATGTTATCGGGAAGATGAACGTCAAAGAAAGTGCTTGATGGTCAAAAAGGATGCGACAGTGGAGGAGTACGTCGTGGTGGTGTATACGGTGGAGGAGGATACACAGAGGTTTTGTGATTATCACTGTGCCTCTCTGTTCAGGTTTAGCTTTTATACCTTTTCTTGCAATCTTTTTCTTATGCTTTGTCTCTTGAGTTTGATGTTTATGTCACTTTTCTTCTTTTGCAGCAGTAAAATTCCATAATTTAGTAACCTGGCGTGTCTTTGAAACCGGAGAATTCTAAGGAATTGCATAGACATACCCTAAAAGCACTATATGATTCTTTGTTAACGATTTTACTTACTTCCTCAATTTTTGTTTGTCACCATTCCTTAGTTCCTTGCGTGTTGATACTTGTTTTCTTCTATTATTCTTTGATTCTTTGCAGCTTCATAGTAGCTTCTCTGTTTCTTTGATTTTTTGCAGTTTCATAGTAGCTTCTCTGTTTCTTTGATACATTTTCTTCTTCCTTGATTCTTTGTTTATTACTTGATTGTACACATTCATAAATGCTTAACTGTTTCTTTTGATTCATTGTCTTCTTCTTTCTTTCCCTGCTTCTCTATTTCTTTGATTCATTGTCTTTTCTTTCTTTCCTTGCTTCTCTGTTTCTCTGATTCATTGTCTTCTTCCTTGTTTCCTTGCTTCTCTGTTTCTTTCATTCATTGTCTCCTTCATTGTTTCATTGCTTCTCTGTTTCTTTGTTTAATACTTGATTGTACACTTTCATAATTGCTACTTGCTAACTTCTTTTCTGCCTCCATTGTTTACTGATTTGCTTCCTTCTTTGATTTCGTCATCCAGTGTTTCATTACTATCCTTAACTTGCCTGCTTATTTGCTCACTAACTGTCTCAGTCTAATTTTACATATATAAAATTATGTATTTTGCTTTGATAGTGATAATACTTTACAGATGGAGACTCTTGAGCGTGATATGTCAAGAAAAATTACCTCTTTCCACCACATAGACCATATCATTTGTGTATGCGGAACAACTATTATCCATTTATACCAGCCTCACAGAAATTTACTTGAAAGAGCAAAGATCAGGTTCTATGATCATTCTTCTCTCCAAATATTTTATTTGTTGGTTTTAGTTTTCAGGGTTTGAGACATTGAGTCTACTCGCAACTGATACGATTTGCTTATAGAAACTGATATTATTATAGATACTTTAGTGAATTACAAAAGGAACTGAGGATTTTGTTAATGGAGCTCCTCCCACTCCCCCAGAATTAACCCACAAACCAGATGAACCTTCCTCATTTCTCTAAGACATCTTATATAGATAAAGACTCATGACAACTCTCTAAACCAACCATAGTTACTTGACATTACCCACACCAAACCATGGTTAATTTTATAAGACTTAGCTATTACTAATAAGCTCTTAAAGCATAGATGTATCAATACCCCTGCCTTTGAAAACAACCTTGTCCTCAAGGTTGGAAAGAGAAAACTGTTTAGCCAACCCAGTTTTTTGAGCTCCCAAGGACATTCATAATCTGGCAGCACTTGCACTTCTTCAATGACTCTTCCTTGCACTGTTCTTAGATAACCCCTCGCCTCCACACTCAGCTCGAAATAGACTTGGAGATGTTCCTTTAACTGTGCCAATATTACGTCTCTTTCTTGTAACAGAGTCCCACTCGTCAGAGCGTCTTTAATTTCTTCATGTCTAATATTCTCTGCAGAAGAGGGCACTGAACTCGGCAATAAGATTATTTGTCTGGGCATCACATCGTCATGTGGGAACAACAGTTTTAGCTCCCAGAGTCTTCCTTGTCCATAAAGATTTTGCCAAGCAAGGCTACTCTTTTCTTCCTCCCGTGAAGCAACCGTGATTAGATAGACAACCCGAAAACCCATCCCCATGAACTGAACTTCTCTTTCTCGACTAATCGCAGCCAAATCCATTTTCTGCATTGTCTGAAATTCAATTGCCCATCCACTTGTAGTAGTGAAGGTAAATAAAACTACTTGCATCTGTTTTGCTGAGACCTCCATATCAGCAGGAATTTCAAGAGAAGAATCATCACGAATCATGTTTACCTCATGCATGAAACCTACACTAAGAAGCAATGCAACCAACTCCAAGCTAACACCAAGTCCCCCTTCTATCACTTTCATGATCACATCAAAAAGTTTCCCAATTCCAAGCAGTGACAACTGAATCTGTTTGTTAATGTCATTGCAAACTTCATGTCTTGTGGTGGCTATGGAAAGCTCTTTATGAAGTGATGAGGCCCATATTCTTTCGGAATATGACATTTCCATCAACCCTTTGCCTAGAGGAGCTTCTCCTTTTAAATATTTACGCAACACACAAGTGTTCCTTTTCCTGTGCTTCTTTCTAAACTTGGCTCTCTTCCCGCTTGTCGTGGACTGCTTCTTATCGGCTGTCATCAATCTAAATAATAGTTTTACACAAATCAGTGCACAGACACAATTGTTGGGCTTAGCAAGTTTTCTCTCACGTTTCAACCTTGCTCTCTTCTTCACTCTGAGAACCTGCTCAACAAAAGCTCTCTTTTTATGAATAGTTAAGAACATCATTACCTTCTTCTTGTGTATATGTCGAAATCTGTATCTCTTTTTGCCAGCCCGAAACCTATTCTCCTTAACTGCTTCTACTCCCATTATCAGCCCATCCATGATCACTCGATAAGAATGTTGGTCTTGTTTCTCTAAAACCAATACAACCCCACTCATCATCTTCATTTTTCTCTTTAGACTTTTCTTTGGAGACCTCAACGATCCTAGTACAGCAGCCGTATAATCAGTGGTCATGTTCGTCACGACAAGCGTTGGCAATCCTCTCACTATCAACGTTTTGTTAATTCTAAACTTGTGCATTCTTCGAAACATAACCATTTTTTTCCAGTAATCCAGCATTACAGTTTTGAACTTGACCTTATGTGGCTTGGTACAGTCTATCTTTCTCTCTACCTCCACATGTTCTCCTTTCCAAGACTTTTTATGAAACATCTGGCAGGTATTGTGATACTCCTGATTTCTAGAGAACCTCGCTTTGATCCTCTTTTCATGCTTGTTGCTTTTCTGCTTGAATTTGTGTTTCCTCCACTTGGAACGCTTATTCTTTACAGTTATATATCCCAATGATAGCCTTGTATACACTAGTCCGTGAATGTATTCACAGTACTTGCGACCCTTCCTCTCAAATTCCATCATTGTTCCCTTTCCTCTCTTCTTCTTTATGAATATCGACATAAACTGTATATTGATCACCTGCTGGTTGTATAACCACCGAGAGTGCATACTCTTACAAAAATTATATGTCTTTGACAGCTTCTTCCATCTCTTCCTCTTCTTGGTGTGTCCTTGTGTGGCTGAGCTTTTTGAAGTTTCTATGGATTTAAGTCCGTTGTATATCCGTGCTGCACTCCCACAAAAATTATGTTTACCAAATTTGTACTTTGATCTTTTCGGTTGGGTAAACTTCCTCCTCTTCCTTTCTTTCTTCTTTGTAAACAGCTTCACAAAACCTCTATCTCCATCGATATTGAAATGCCTCTCAGGTTCAACAGTCTTGGGAAGTTTTTTCCATCTCTTCTTCTTCTTCGTCTTCTTCTTCTTCTTCTTATTATTTCCCTTGATAGAAATTTCATCGAACACTTGGCATGCATCCTTAGTCATCTCTAGATCTGTCTGATTTTTCTCTCCTCGCTGGTGTGTTTCATCTCTCATTGTACTATCATCCGCAAACACAGTAGTCTCCTTCTCCTCAGCCTTCAGATTTGGTTTTTCAAAACGCTCACCAGTGTCAAGGATATATTTCTCTAGCCTGTCCAATCAGCTCGACCATCTGCTCATCTTAGAATCAAAATCGTCACTCTCCGTTAGAACAGCCACGATGCTCTCTTTTCCTTTTCTGAATCGTTGAAGCAGACCGATCTTGACCTCATTCCAGCTAGTGAACACAACTTGTGATTCCTGGAACCACAACAGAGCAACATCTTCCATGAATCCATATGCAAAAGAAATCTTCGTCTCTTCCGAAAATCCATGGTCAGTGAAATAATCTTCAACCCATGAAATCCACATCTCTGGATCTTCATCGCCGTAGAAGATTGGAACCTCCACAAAACCATCTTCCCTCGGATCGTACCGCTCTGATACCATGTTTGATACGATTTGCTTATAGAAACTGATATTATTATAGATACTTTAGTGAATTACAAAAGGAACTGAGGATTTTGTTAATGGAGCTCCTCCCACTCCCCCAGAATTAACCCACAAACCAGATGAACCTTCCTCATTTCTCTAAGACATCTTATATAGATAAAGACTCATGACAACTCTCTAAACCAACCATAGTTACTTGACATTACCCACACCAAACCATGGTTAATTTATAAGACTTAGCTATTACTAATAAGCTCTTAAAGCATAGATGTATCAGCAACCAGACTCGGGACTACCACAATATCTCTGACACAAGGTTTGAGTACCGTGTTTTCCCCAAAATATGTATACAAAAGTTTGATTCAATGTCATAGTTTCTATACCAAATCAGATAAGGTATAACTGTCTTAGAATCAGTATGAAGTCAGACAAATGTTTTCTAGATATGAAGCTAGTTAGATTTTATAGATATAGAAAGTTAAAACGTTCTGTATTTTGTTCCTCAACTTCGAAGCTCTCGGTTGATTTTTCCTCATTAATTTTGGTATTTCGTAGCATGAATTTTGTCACTAACTGTTTCAAGAAATCATCTAAAGAATATCCATGCTTTTGATCTGCAGATTCAGTTTTATGCCAAGAAGATGAAACAAACTCCATGGTTCTAATGCTCTGTAAGTGACAGCTGAATCTTACTTTAATTCTTGTATATCTTTCTGGCCATGTGTCCACTGAGGTGGTGAAGTCAAAACTTGAGAAACAAAGGCTATGTTACTGCCTTGCTGGTATGGATATTGTTGGAAGTCAAAGACTTCAAAGGAGGTCTGAACAAAAGATCCTGGTATGATACTTAAATTTTTAGTCTTTAGAAAGGAACAAAGAGCTGACATGATCCATATTTGTAGGATAAATTTATCCAAGTTTGAGGAACTTCATCACAAACTCAAGAACTAAAAGATATTCTTTCGATTGTCTTCTCTCACCCTTAATATCAGTAGTCCACGGTGCTACGAAGTTTTCATTTCATTAGCTAAGTGAGATATTACCCAAAAGTAATGAACATGTGTTTCTTCTTGCTAGACACTATTTCCAAGTCTGAGGAGGACAAGGAGAAGCTCTATATAAGATATGAGCAACTAAGTAAGCCAACAAACTCCTTATGAAACAACCACTATAAATAAGATGGCTCCACTTACTCACTTCCCCTTGATAAAGATACCTGAATAGGAGAGGTTCTACAAAGAAAAGCTTGCTCAGTTGGAAGAATCACTCAAGGTAAGTACGTGTATTCATATTTTAAATAACATGGCCTTTAACTGAGAGATTAATTGCATTTTAGTAGGATCCACTACAAGTTAGCTTATCTATCTCTACTATACAATGTTAGGTGTGACTGAATGATCAAAAAATGCAAGTGTAGTAATTAAATCTCATCATTCATTTTCTAGAGCATGTAAGCAGTGGTAGAAGTTTATGGAATAACTTCATCGTGGAGTAAACAAGACGATCCACTTTTAAGTTGTTATTTATTTTATTGCATTCTAAGTCACAGGGCAATCTATTTCTTGTAATGTCAGTCAGTACTGGTGTATCATTATGTATTCATTGCCACTGATTCTACTATATTTCATTTGTATAGTGCAATCCCTAGCTAAGAAAGATGAAGTTCTAGAGAAAAGACAAAAACTGGAGCACGAAACAAATTTGTGGTATAGCATCCAAATCTATAATATAAAAACATGTTTGTCTCTTGGTTTTGATGGTTTATTGTGTTCTCTAACTGGAATCATATAATGACGCATAACTCTTAGACATTTTTATTATTTCAGGTCTATTGCAACAGCTGAAATGGTTATGCATTATCTTCTTTTTTCTTAAGTTGAATGCTTCTCCAAAGTATGTTTCTTCAATCTTTTGTTTTTGGGTTATCTTCTCTTTTCCTTTTATGCAGTAACTATTTCTTAGTTAGGAGGACAATGAGAGACTATATGTGAAAAGGAACAACTAAGTAAGCAAACATTATGAGAACACTGTTAATAAGATGACAACATTTACTCAAAACATGACACCTTCCCTTGTAATATAACATGTAGGGAAAAGGAGAAGACAATGATATCATGAGAGGTTCTACACAGAAGAGCTTCCTCAATTAGAAGAATCACTAAGGTAAAGCCAAAGATCTATGAGTTGAAGTCAAAACTTGAGAAAGATTAATTACGAGAGGAGTGCTGCTTTACGAAAATTTGAGATAAGTTATTATAGTCGTTTTTTCTTATTGTAATTTGAACTCTTGAAGCTAATTTTTGCAGACGAATTGTGAGTACATGTTGCAAAGATGAATGAAGAAGAATGGAAGAACTTTTCTGCAGAACAAAAGGATCGGTAAGAAATGAGTTCTTGTCCCATATCAATTTTGTGAAGTAATGAAAAGTTGATAAACAAATATCAAACTTTTTTGCATATTATTGAACTGGGAGATATACATATTGTAAAGGATATGAGAATTAAGGATCTAATTGTAATTAAGATAGTCCTAGGGTTCTCATTGTATCCTATATATATTGTACACATTACAACTAATAAAATATCACTCATATTATCTATACATATATGGAATGATATAAAAGGCTAAACGTAGAAGAAGGGGATAAAGAATCTCTCCAAATTGTTAAGGAGAGAAAACCAACAATGCCTTTAGCTAGTAGTAAGAAAACATTTTGGGCTAAGTCGGTCAATAACGACAACACATTTCTTGACGAGATAGAGAAAGGTAGCTCAATATAAGATCCAATGACCAATCAATCTTATATCTTTTGAAGTTGTTCTTTTGACCCTGAGAACCGTGAAAATCTATTAATCTATTAATCTATTTTTGTTATAAAAAAAAAAAAAAATTAGGATGACATGAATAGATTAATAGATTTTCACGGTCCCTATCCCTTTCAAAAAACCAATAATGTTGTATAATTACTTCATTTGTAATAAAATTATGATAGAATATGATAGACTAAAATAATATCTCTAACAATAACCTAATAAATTTATTTTTTCAAAAAAAAAAAAAACCAATATCTTTATGACTTAATGAATATCTAAAATCCCAAGATTATTAGTTTTAAGTATTTTGTTTCTCTCCCTCTTTTCATATAATAGGATACTACTGTATTCCCCCTTATTCTTAGAATCCAGTGGAAAAAAATGAGAAACTTATGTCTCATAATAAACTTGGTAACAAATTCAAAAAGTAAAAGCAGAAGAGATCATCCATATTTTGATAAGTATATTTATATTTTGACTCTTATTGCAGTTGTAAAATACAGAATTTTTTAAATTAATTGCCGAATATTTGAATCATTTTGACTCTTATTGTAGTTGTAAAATACAGAATTTTTTAAATTAATTGCCGAATATTTGAATCATTAAAAAAAAGATCTTATATTTCAAAAAGAATATAAATAGGTGTTTTCGCCACCTTTGATAATACACTAAAACATAATTACGAAATGGCATCAAAGATCACATCCTTCTTCATGATTGCTCTCGTTATCTCTTGTAAGTCTTTATAGTCTCTCTAACATAATATGTAAGCATACTACTTATTGATTTGAAATTTAAAACATAACATATGTATGTGGTTCATAAGGTGCAATGATGGTGAGTGTAACAGCAGAAGTTGATGATCACTATATTCCTACATCGACTCATCAAACAAAACTCGACAACTTATATGCTAAGAAGTGCAAGTTGACTAAAGATTGCGATCCTCGTATGAGATTTACATGTGTCTCCAAATCTTATATGTGTTTCGATGGCGTATGTACTTGCATGAATTAAAGGCTCGTACGTATGAGATTTACTTTTTTTTTCCTTTTCTTTTGCTTTTGTTATAGACATTAGCAAAAAATGCAAAACTATATACAATATGAAGATTATTCAAGATTCACAAAGAGTTTCGAGGATTGTGTTTTCTTTTATTCTTATATTCAACGGTAACTAACGTCTCCCTAAATGTATATGGCATCATATATAAATGAATATGATTAATATGTAGTAAATATCAACCAAAAAACATAAGAATCTTGCAAATTTTGACCAAACCTTACAAGGCAAATTTTGACTCAAATTGCTAAGAAAGTATTTATATATACAAATTTGACTACATTATGGGGAAGAATCATTAAAAATTTGAGTCAATGAATCAAAAACTTACTCAAATTTTATTTATGGTATTTCAAAGAAACTATAAATAGTAGAGGTATCCATTGGTTATAGCCATACTTAAGAAATGGCTTCAAAGATCACAATCTTCGTCTTGCTTGCTCTCGTCGTCGCTTGTAAGTCTCTCCAATATCTCTAACAAGCCTTTTACTTAAAAAACATAATTGTTGGATCTGAAGTTTGAACATGACATACTTTTTCCTGGTCCGATGTGCTTCATCAGGTACAATGATGGTGAGTATTCCGGCCGCGGATGCTGAGCTTGTTTATCCTTGCAAAACAACTTATGATTGCGAAAACTTTCCCTGCTCGGGCCGGTCATCTCAATGCATAAAGGGACAATGCAGATGCACCACTTTATTGACTAATCAAGCAAAACTTGAAAACCAAAGGACAATGGATAATGCTCAGACATGCAAGCTGACGAGTGATTGCGATCCTCGTATGAAATATTCTTGTCCATCGGGCTCTTATATGTGTGTTAATGGCCTTTGTACTTGCATCTAGTCTTATTGTAAACACACATATATGCATATCTCTTGCTTTTACCATCGTTGGATGATTTTCTCAAGGATGATATAATAACATGTATTCAGAAAAAAATATTCAATGGAGTTATGTTTTGATGTTTAGAAAGATAAAGATTGAATAGTTTTTAGTTCAAGTGTATGAATGACTCGTTCCACCTCGTAATTTTTAAGGTCTATTTTGCGGCAAAGATGATAAATTAAAAAAAATCATTATAAATTGATATTCAAAACAGAGGCAATTACTTTGTAAACTTTATGATGATGAACAAATTGTACATTATAACAAAGAGAAACCATAAAAATGCCAAGAATCATCCAAATTTTGCTAAACGTGATTACATTTTGACTACAGTCTAACATATTCAATGCCGATATTTTATCAAGTATTTGAATCATTGACTGGAATATTTTCAAATTAAATTCCCAAATCACTATAAATAAATAGCAAAACTCTTTATCGCTTGTAAAGATTACAACGATAAAATTTAAAAAATGGCATCAAGAATCACTTTCTTTTTCCTCACTGCCCTCGTTATCGCTTGTAAAGTCTCTTTAATCTCTATCACGAACAAGACTTTTCTTGTCCGTTTTGAAGTTTGAACATAACATCTTAATGTGCGTGTGAATAGGTGCAGTGATGGTGAGCCTTCCGACAGCGGCAGCTCAGATTAATCTTCCTTGCAAAACAGACAAAGATTGCGAATACCTTCACTGCTCGAGCGGGACACCTCTATGTGTAAGGGGACAGTGCACATGTACCATTCAGACTCATCAAGCAAAGCTTCAAAAACTATAGATGATAAATTATCAGTTATGCTAAGACGTCCAATCATATTTTGACCAATATTTTACTATCTTTGGAAGATTATTCTCACATGTTTTACTATCTTTGGAAGATTATTCTCAAATCATATTTTGACCAGGATTTTTAATTGCGCTTGTCATTATGATTAGAAACGTATAGATTGTTGAAAAAAAAAAAAAATAGCGTATAAATTGTGTGGTTAAAAACAACAGTATTAAGCACAATCTTAAGTTTTCAAATTTTTGATGGTCCAAGAGAAAGGATTAAATCCTAATTATTTATTGTTTAAAATGTTTTAAATCAAATATTTGATCTAATCCAAATCGAGAATTCTCCCGGATTCTACTTTCAATACACCCCTCTTTTAATGTAATATACTAATCCGGAATCATTACTGATGCTATGAAAGAGAGAGACGTGACTTTAAGAATAAGCATCGGATTAAGTTCACTTTAATTAAAACGCAAATATATAAATCTATACGTTAAAACTATAGGCATATATCCAATTTATTTTTTTCTGTGGCGGAGATGGAATCTCACCAGCCTAACGAAAGGTATAAACCCACTTAATTAGAAAGGATCAGCCACGTCTTTGATTGATTAAATAATAGATTTTTCTTGAATTAGATCACATGTTGAAAGTAAATTACGATAAAGTGTTTTTTTTTTTTTTTGAAATGAACATTATAAAGTTATTTCTTTATACATATAGTTGGATTCGAGAATTTATTAAAAAGATATCAAGATATGTAGGTATTTTTGCATACATAATAATATGACTAAATATGTATGTGCTCATCTAAAAATGGGGAGGCATGATTGACTTAAGGCATAATATTTTCTAGATATGCTTTCTTTTCAAATCTACCAAGTGGAAATTGATTTGCATAGTGAAAAATAAATAAATAAACAAGAATATGACTAGATTATATTCTACAAATAGTGAAAAAGACCAAAAAAGAAGAAGTTAAACTTAATATTATGGTGATGAATTTTAAATACAACGTCCAAACTTAATATATATGATTCTTTCAACAGATGAGTCCAAAAAACTGAAATATTTATTAAAAATATATATATTTACCAAATAATTAGTATAAGATTTAAAAATTACAGCAACATGTTTTCCTTAACATTCATTAAATCATATAGTAAAAACTAAAAAGTCTATGATAATTATAGTGCAGTATTCTCGTTTAGCATTATTAGAGATTAATTCTTACGAAAATTTTATTGTGCAACTCC